CGACAACACGCATCGCTGACTGAACAGTCATTGATGCTGCTGGGCGGTGAGTGGTTTCATATGAAGAAGCATGCCCTAAGCTCCCTGAAGCTTTCGGAGCAAGATCCCGAAACACTCAAGGTTCGTGTTTACGCTAGCCTCAGATTTGGCCATTGCAGAGAAGAGATGGAGGGATCGACTTCTTGCCATCCTAGAGAAAGGCATGGTTCCCAAATTGGGTTTGAACGATGGTAAAATGCTTCTGCTTTCATTTCATAGAATTTCCATGAATTTCCTTCAAAATGTGTTGCGCACTGCATGGCAACTGTTCCAACCTGCAGTGGCCGGGATGAATGACATGAGCGTCATCGGGCAGCACAATTCCATCACCTCGATTCGAAGGCTTGGCAAATGGTGGATGTACAGCAGTCAAACACATCTTTACACTTCCTCATTTCCTCATTTGCATGTGCTCTTGTTTGCTGATGCTATATAAAAGCTTAGCTGTGCCAGTCTTTGTGGTTGTTGCTAGACAATGCACCCCTGTATATACTATATACATATATTTTTATACAGTATAAATATATGGATACCACTATCTCATCTAACGAGAGTCTGAGTAGGCCTTGGCCTACTGATGCTAATAACTATATAACCACTACGACGACTACTTCTACTACAGGAAGTCTGTTGTGTGCTCTTGAGGGCTGTGGCAAGCGAGATTGAGCAGCGCATGAACGACCCTGAGACCAAGCTCCAGTGGACAGTGGAGCTGAAGCAAATGGTTACGGACTTCAAGAAGGAAGCCAAGAAGGACTTGGACAAGGAACCCTCCGGTCGCAGTCGCTCGTCTACTCGGGCACCTTCTTCGAGTGGAAAGCAGAAGAAGTCTTCTGGTGATGAGTCAGACGGCAGCAAGACGTCCAAGGCAAGAGATTCAGGACGCATGAAAGTCTTCAAGCCCAGCAAGCACGACAAGGTGAGGGGTTGCAAGGCGAATAGAATTGCAAGGTGAATTCTTGTTCAAACGTAGGCTAGGGCTCTATGCTCATGACCTGGCATGACCAGCGTCCCTGATAGGAGAAGGATGACAAGGACTGTGAGTCTGACAGGTTTGCAAAACGGCCCCGTCATTTGGACCATTTTGAGCCAGCCCCGTCTGTGGCCAACAGCATGAGTGCGGAGTCTGTGGCTGCTGCTAGCGAGGAGGAGATCTTCAAGTTTTTCCGGCCAGACATTATGAGACTCATTCCACGTCTCAATGACATGTCGTTGTTCATCAAGGTCCTGGTTGCAGATGGCATTGAACCTGGTTGTTTGGTTTAGTAAAGCTTGTTGGTGTGCTGTGTTCGTTGAAGCGGTTTCGGATGCGTTTGGCCTGGGGCATGTAGCCCTGCCAGCCTAATTCACCCAGGACAACGTCAAATGCTTTTTGGAGGCCATTGAATCTGGGTGGACGCCTGTCCAGGAAAGCTGCGGGGCACCTGCTCGTGAAGTCTTGGGATGCATCTCATGGAGGGGCCGTCGTGACGCTCAAGAGTTTGTCAAGTATGTGCGCCAGAACATTGCCACATGGTCAATTAGTATTGAACATGTTTTCTTTGGAGTGATGATGTTTGATCTCAATCAGAGCCTTAAAACCTGGGTGTTCTTTTTAATGTGTATGGTCTAGTTCCTGCCTTTCCTCTTCTTTCTCTGTTCCTGCATTCATCCAGGCTGACTTCAAGTCCAAAATGGAGACAGGTCACAGGAGTTCTTCTCCAACTGACCTGTCGCGCAGCTTCGACAGTGAGGCGACAGTGAAGCTGGGTGAGCAGGAGGCATATCTCCGCCGCGTGGCAGAACGGCGAGAGCGGCGCAATGCAAGTCCAGCTGATAATGATGCTCCAGGGGAGTCTGAGGTTGTAGAGGACGATCCAGCGGCATCTGAGACAGGGTCGGCTTCCCAATGATGCCGTTGGGACTCATCTTTTGGGCAGGATGGAGCGAGTGCCACAATCCCCCTCCTCTGGATCTGACTGAGTGAAGTTTTGGAATGTGTCGCTAGGTTGGTCAGGGGTCATGTCTCCAGCGGTTTGGTGTATTCATAATGTGTTGTTTATCGCAACTAACTACTAACTATACAAGACATATATTGATAGTTTAGACCCCGGCAAAGAGCCTCAAGGGAGACAGTGACACACCTGGCCTTAATCAATCAACTGGCAGTGGACTTCTCACTCCAAATGCGCAGTTTCCAGAGTGCCAAAAGGATCGATGACATAGGCTTACAGGCTATAAGGCTATAACTCTAGTTACTTACAGGAGTTTTGATACTTGTTTGGGCCACAAACACCAAAATCCCACCAGATCTGGAGGCCAAGTGGCACACATTCAGGGCAAGCAACGTACTCACGACAGGCAACGGACTCACGACAGGCAACGTACTCACGACATGCAACGTACTCACGACATGCAACGTACTCACGACAGGCAACGTACTCACGACAGGCAACGTACTCAGGACACACAACGTGTTTTCATGAAAAACTGAAAGAAATGCTACAGCTGAAAAACGAGAAAAGAATGGTCCATGGAAAAGAATGCGAAAGGTTGCAAGAGTAAAGCTACCACCTGAGACATTGTGTGTAAGTCGAACGATCTTTTCAAAGCGTTCTTTTTACAAATCTTAAAGCTCATGGTACCAGTCCCAGGCAACACCTTATTTGCCCTACCCAGATGCAAGCGCCGCTCACTGATAGACGTAAAACGATAGAGATCCTGCGTACATAGGTTGCCAACATTGCTCACGGCAGGTACCGTACTCACAGTAGGCAGCGGTCTCACGGCAGGCATCGTTCTCACAGCAGGCAGCGTTCTCACGGCAGGCATGCGACTGAGTG